ACCAAGCGAACAAAACACTTGTACTAAGTTTGTGTAATCCGCTACCTGTCCCTTCCTATCACCGATCTCAATTCTGATCGTAAGTGCTTTCTCGATATATTCTATGGCATTGTCGTATTCGCAAAGATGGTGAAACACAACTCCCAAGTTCCCATAAGCCTTTGCCTCTCCGTCTTTGTCACCAATCTCCTTTCTGATCGTAAGTGCTCTTTCGATGTAATCTCTGGCCTTATTATATTCACTGAGACCTACGAGCAGTCTTCCAAACTCTCCACAGGTATCTGCTTCTTTTTTGCTGTCACCATTTTGTACCGTGAGGTTTATTGCTCTTTCATAAAAATCTTTCGCATCGACAAAATTATTTAGTTTAGATGACATTCTTGCAATATTCAAGCTTAATTTCACTTTACCGATTCTCTCTTCTTGGGCGGCGACACCAAGACTATGGTTATCGGAGAAAAATTTTCTCGCATATTTTACCGAGTTTTGGGAATCAGAAATCAATCGGTATGCTTCGGACATCATAAAATAGACAAGTTGGTAACATTTCCTTGCAATTTTATCTTCTCTTCCCTGGCAATTGGCATTCAATAGGTTCAAAAATTCGTTGCATAACTCGATGGCTTTGTGAACTCGACCAGTGTTTTTTAAAAAAGAGGCAACTTTGAAGATCGTCCGAATCCTGGTTATGAAATCCATTACGGTGTCACTTGTAACTGTAAACAACTGAAAGAACACAGGCGAAACATGAATGGTTATATCCAACCGACAGAATACTAAAGCATTGGAATGAATTTTCGTATCAAGACAGATCAGATAGAGACAAAAAAAGTACAGTATATCGAAGCATCGGGCTGAGGAGCAGAGGAAAGGAAAAGATCAGGTCACCCAGAACATGGAAGAGAATAGTTTAGGGCGAAAGGTGAACAACAGGATGACAATAAAGGGCGTCTGAGAAAGCAACAAATCAAAGAGGATGGAGCTAGAATACCAAAGCTTCATGTTTCTCACGGCATATCTGCATTGTTGGATAAGATACGGTTTCAGAAGTGAGGACAAGTTCTCTTGATGAAGAGCGCGATCGTTACACTGAGCCACTCATATCATAATTTCCCTGAACTAAAACATGAAAACATGACGATTTTCATGCTTTCCTTCTAGCGAACTGTAATAAGGAATAAAGTGGATAAATTCTTCAGTTGATATCGCATAGGTCAGTAGTTTTGGACAATGCACTCTCACGCAGTCTCCAAACCCCGGCAGCATTTCTATACCTAAGTTTCGTCGACGCTTGCGGTTATATGAGTGATAATCAACATGCACAGTTCGTAAGGAAGATAATTTTTGAAAGTGATGTTTAAATGTCGTTCCTTGTGATTAAAGAGACGAAGGAACAATTACTGTAAGGATAAGGGCCTAGGTGATGTGACTGATAAAGGCTTCCGAGGGGAAGATATAACTTTTTTATATTTCAAGGGACTTTTAATTTATATAAATACGCGCATTGTTTGCAGTGAGCTGCCCCCTTTTTTGATTTTTGGGACAATGTAGGTGGGGGCTCGCAAGAGAGAAAGGAAACTTAAATATCCAATTTTTTTCCAGTGGGGCACGGAATACCTGAACCTTGTGCAATTACGTATTCAATTCGCGAAATGGTCCATTGCAGTGTAATATTGATATAAACCAACTTCTAGAAATTATTGTACACGAGATCAGTCGAATACCGATAAACACTGGACATGCCTGTTCTTTTGCGTTGCAGTAAGATTTTCCCCTTATCTTGCTGCTTCGACGCTCGAGTTGCAGCGTTAGTGGACGGTGTTTTAGCGTGACTTCTTTTAATTCGCGTGACTTTCTTGGCAGAGAGAAAACTTACATTTATGCAAATTAAGGACAGAAATGATGCGACCTCAGATCCGTTTGCCTTGATTGGTTTCACTAAATTCCTTTCACTTTTATGAGTTGGAATAAAAAAACTATGTGTATTCAACAGAAGCCTCTTGCAAGGTAGAGGGCGAACCTCCCCGTGCGGTTTTCGATCTTTGAGAATAGATCAAAACATAATAAGAAACCTGTACACATTTATCCTTATTGAATGTTATGGCTTTCAGTAATTCATTGTTATCAAAGTAGTCTACCTACAGTCTGTTGCTTTGATATCTTTTGCTTACGTCCTTTATCACGATTTTATTAATTTTGATTATTCGATTTTGTTATTCAGATCAATTCGTTTTATATTCTTGATAATTTGGCTTTATCAGTTGAGTTGATAATGTAATCTGGCCGCTGTCAAGTGTCTATAAAGCTGACGCTTCGAGCGCTAGCCCTTCGTTAGGGCGACTACATTCTGACGAAGGGCTAACGCGCGAAATGGCAGGTAAGAAACTGCAAACTCAGTTGATAAAACCAAGTTATCTTGTAAAACCCTCCACCGTCGCAATACCACAGTTTCGTGAGAAACTGAAACCGCTGTTCGTATCATATTTAGTAAAGCGAGTCCTGATCAAAGAACTTAGAAATTCACCCTTCGGCTGACGCTAAGCAGATAAAATGCGCCGTTCACAGAATGAATTATTGTATGATAACTAGTTTCGCAAGATTCGATAATTAAGAACACAATCGAAAAATCGGTGTCTTCCTGATCACAAGAGTCCTTGTTCTTCATACGACAGCGCCAAGATTTAATTCGGCTGAACTCTTAGTTCGGTTTCAACCAACTTCAGTATCGCGGTCGTATAGATCAGAGCCATCACACATGTAACCAAGGCTATACCAGAAACAGAACACTGCAATAAATGCACAGTAGCGTCCTGATAAATGTCTCTTACCTCGTAGCTTGATTTCC